GCACACTAAGATAGATAAGATTAGGAATAATGATATCCGGGAGAAGGTGCATGTGGCTCCCATTGATGAAAAGATGCGGGAAGCGAGGCTTAGATAGTTCGTACATGTTCAGAAGAGAAGTCCAGATGCTCCGGTACGAAGGTGTAAGCAGCTGGTTGTGGATGGCATAAGAAGAGGTAGAGGGCGACCTAAGAAGTATTGGGGAGAGGTGATCAGGCAGGATATGGCGAGGCTCCAGATTTCCGAGGACATGACACTTGATAGGAAGATGTGGAGGTCGAGTATTAGGGTTGTAGGTTAGGAGGTAGTTGGGTCGTGCCTTACTTCGTACCATTGTGGGACTAGCCATGTAGGGTTTTTGTCTAAGATAGCTATTGGCAATGTTGTGGCTTACTATTTCGCTTTTCAGTGCATGTCCTATTTATTAGCTATCGCTTTTGCTTTGCATCTTTCTTCTAGATTTCATGGTGTTCCTATTTTTCTTATGATTGTTGTGGTGATACTAATATTTACTAATATTGTCTCCCTTTGCTTTGCATCTTTCTTTTGGATTTCATGGTGTTCCTATTTATCCTATGATTGTTGTTGTGATACTAATATTGTCTCCTTTTTGTCATTTTGTCTTTTTATTTTTTTGAGCCGAGGGTCTTTCGAAAATAGCCTCTCTACTCATTCGGGGTAGGGGTAAAGTCTGCGTACACACTACCCTCCCCAGACCCCATTAGTGGAATTTTACTGGGTTGTTGTTGTTGTATCTATTTTACTCTCAAAATTATTAAAAATATCAAAGTATCCAAAAATCACCGAAGAATTTATAGAATTATCATCAAAAAATACAAACACACGTTCAAAAAACCTAAAAACACAATCGTAAAAGTAAAACCTAGAAAATTAATGCACTAATCAAAGTAAACCCTAGGAAACTATTTTATCATTAAAAAAAAAAGGAAAACGATTCAACTAAGATGACTATAAACAAAAAAATCCAGAAATTAAATCGTAAAAACAATACTAAAATAAAACCCAGAAAGTTAATGCAATGTACTTGTGATTAAACGTAATGTTATTGGGGAACAAACAGTTGAAAAATCAAGAAGAATCGAAAACCGTTTGATTTCAGAGAGAAACAAATCAAAAAACACGAAGAACGGGAGAAGAGAGACAGAGACAGTAGAATGGCGTATATTTGGAGAGAAAGTAGTCTTTTAATAAAGAAGGGCAAAATCGTCTTTTTAAAAGGCTTTTAACAAAAAAAAAGGGTACGGATGCAAACAAAATAGGGTTAAAAATAAAGCGGATACAGGTTAAAAAGGGGCGACCAAATAGGGTGCCCCATGCAATTTTTACATTTATTAAACTCAATCCATCTTGACACATCCCATCTCAACCCATTTAAAGTTGAGCTGATTTTTAGCCATAATTGGTCCATGAGTAACTTTGCCAAAATATCTTAGAAATAATTATTTTTTTTGATATGTTATATATGACCATAACAAAAAAAATTATTTAGTAATTATCCAATTCATAAGAAAATAATACATATTAATTAAATGCTTGGTAAGAGTTGGGCGGGTTGGGCTATAACCCTAATTTTAGAGATCTTGACTTAACTCATCTCAGCCCAAGTAACTTGACCCGCCCATTTATAGACTCAACCCATTTTGACCCGTCCAAAATCGGGCCAACCCGCCCATTTGACACCTCTTCTACAATAGTGCATATTCAAATTCAAAAGAAAAAAAAAAGAAATTCAAATGGATATATAAGTAATAATACTTAGGAATTGACTATTTTGTCCCTCCCTTGGCTTTCAGAAGCAAGCAGACGAAAAACCAGGCAGTGTAAAAGCATAGGAGAAAAAGTGAATCGTGGCTTCTGCAGCAAAATCCAAAACCATAAACCCCTCAACTGTAATAACTGTCAGATCACAATCCCCAATTGATAGAAAATTTGGTAGAAAGATTGATCGGGTCGGATTGGAATCAGATCCGAATGTCAAAGGATCCGAGTATGGAGATACTGCTGCAAGAATCAGGGTGGGAAGAATTGCGGAAAGACGCTCGCAAGATCGAAGGGGATCTTGATGTTAAGCTTTCTTCTTATGCTAAGCTTGGTGCAAGGCTCACCCAAGGAGGTACTCTCCAGTTTTTCACTTAAATCTTTTATACCCAATTGAATATTTGAACTACAATTCCTAATTTGATAGGAAAATATTAACTGATTAATTGTGTTAAAATGTTAATGGGTTTTGGGTTAGTAAGTGTAAAGTTTCTATCTTGATTCATTGTATCAAAATGCTGATGGTTTTGGTCCAGAAAGTGCAAAGTTTTGCTTTTGAGTGAAAAATGTTTATAGGATTTGGTTAAGAAAGTGGTGAAGTTTATGTGTTGATTCATTGTTTCAAAATATTGATGGGTTTTGGTTGAGAGAGAGTGTAAAGTTTCTATTTGATTCATACTATCAAATTGTAAGTGGATCTTGGTCCAGAAAACGTAAAGCTTTTAGCTTGATTCAATGTATCAATCTGTTGCTTTTTTGTTTGTTTGTGTGTAGGACTTATTTGAGAAAGAGTATGATACTTTCATTATATCTTGATTCGTTGTATCATACTTTGTTCTTACTCTATGTTGTTGTTTATGAGTTGAGTTTCTGGTTTGGATCAATTTTGGGGATCCTCCGTTTTGCCTTTTCAATTTCGTTAATTGAAGTTTAATTTATGGCTAAATGTGTGATTATTTGAGACAAAGAAGTTGCTACTGCAACTTCGGCTAATTGAGGGAAATGAATAACCAGCTTAAATTTTTTTGATAAGAAAAGTAAGACTTACTATTGAATGTAGTGCTAAGTATGTACTGTCAATTAAGGTGCTTGTGAAATTCAGTACTTCATCCATGTAATGAATCCATGAACTCCAGATCCATCTACAGTTTTCCTGTTGTACTGAAAATATAAGTTTTTGTAAACAGTTCAACTTTAAAATGATGAAGATAAAAGCCTTTTCTCAAAACATCCGTGGTTCCTTGTCTATCCATCTGCCAGAAAATATACAAAGTGGAATGTTTATCCATAGCTTCTTCTTCTCTGTCCATTGCAACTGGTCATGGCACCTTTCAAATACCCTTGCATCACTCAACTCTCCAATTAGGCCAAGAACATACGCCAGATTGCCCATATGAACCGGAAATGCAGGAGATGTCTGTCTAATTTGCAAAAGTAACATACACTGCATGATTTCTGTACCCCTGCTTTGGATTCATGTGTGAGACAGGCCTCGTTGAGTGCTAGCCATCCAAATCCAGCCACTTCTGCTGGTGCATAAGTTTTTCATAATCAACTTCCAAGGCCACGTTCGCTCCTTCTTGTGCTGGTTTTCTTGATTTAAAATAAGAAAATTCCATCCTTCTTTGCCATCCACTATGGAGAAACTGACCTGTTCGTTACCACTACCAGGTCCCCCAGTCAGTAATAGGTATGCTCACACTTCCCAGTTCCTAGACTTGTAAGTTCCTTCTAGAGTGAAGATTCCAGTTGCTGCCTTTCAAGCAGTCAGCTATGCTGCATTAGTTGGTGTTGAACAGATTGTATAGATCTGGATAAGTTCCTTAAGAGGTCGGTTTTCCAGCCATTTGACTTGCAGCATCCTTGTTTTCCTCTCATTTCCCACCTGGGTTTTTATGATTCCTTCAAATACATCCAGCTTCCTCATCTGCTTCCAAACTGCTAACCCAAATGGTGTTATAACATCCTTGGTGCACCATTGGCTGTCCATTTTACATTTTGCCATGTTACCTTTTTCCATAGTTCGTCTATTCCATCTTGGATCTCCACAACCATTTGAACATAAGACTTCTATTGTGCAACCTTAAGTTCATAACTCTGTTTTTGATGGCCTTGTTGTCCTTTTGCAGACTAGCTTTCTGTGGGTGCCAATTTCCATTATCCTCCCTCCCCCCAAATAAAACTTACATTCTTTCGTGGTTCGCCGATAATTTGACCTCCTTTGTAGATGAAAAAGTTCTCCATACTTCTCTTCCAAACTTAATCTGTTCAAACGTTTTAGTATTACTAACTAATTTGACTGATCATGTCAAATGAGGTCAAGTTTATTGGGATAGAGGTATTAACCGGTATAGAAGCTAAAAAAGGATGTTTGCCACCTTTTGATCTTCATAATAAAAAAGTATACAATGTAATGCATGCTTTGCTGTGGAAATGTCTTGGTATTCTTCCCATATAGGTTTATTCTCCACGTTTTGATCTGGTCATATCCCCGTTTTCATTTTTCATCATCTTTTTTTCTTTCTAATTCATATTCAAAAGATGATCGCAGTTCCTTATCCTTGAAACTGCTAAAAGCAAAGAACAGTTTTATCCCACTCAGTAATTGCTGACAATTGTTTACTAGAAATAGGTTGAAGTTAACGTGTATAAAATCTTCGATTTTTACAACATAGCCTGGGGAAAGACAACATAGCCTCGGGAACATCTTCGATATGCAGAGTTGAAATTATGAGACAATCAAATCTAATGCAAAAAGATCATTTGTGCAAATTGCAATTGCAGAAATCATTACTCTAATTTTGGTCCAGACCAGGAGGAAACTTCCTATATGTTTGTTTGTTGCATATATTTGTCCATGTAGACCTAAAAGGGTCAACACTACTTATTACCCCCCAAATCTTAGATATGCGATCTGTGGGTTTGTTTGGTTATGAGCTTTGCTAATAAACAAGAGTAAATGTATTTATCAAAGGCCGAACAAGAGTAATTTTACTTATCAATGAATCCTCACTATCTGTATCACTCTATTTGGGCCAGTTGATTCCTGTATACAATAATTTGGGGTCTAACACTAGAAATTCTCTACTTTGCCAACTGACATACAAATCTCTAAACAGATTAAACGGACTCCTAGCAACACATTGCCTAATGTAAACATAGGATCATCACTACGACTTAATGCTCTTTTCCATTTCATGGTAAAGAAAAAATGGACCAATTTTTAGAAGGTTATTTCTCTTTTTGTAAGTTAATGATCTGCAGCTAAACTTGTAATTTTGACAAGATGCTTGAAGAACGAAGCAAATGTGGCCTGTTTCTGAATTTTGGAGCTTGTGAACAACTTAGCTATGGTTTCTGATATTTGTTTTTATTGGTTCAGGGTATGTAGAAGCTGGTTCACCAACTCTAGGATCCAGCAGGTCCTGGAAGTCTATGGAAATGGAGATTCAGTCATTACTTGAGAAGTTACTGGATGTAAATGATTCTATGAGCAGATGTGCGGCTTCTGCTGCACCTACCACTTCTGTTACACAGAAGCTGGCAAGGCATAGGGACATACTTCATGAATTTACCCAGGTTACTAACCAACATGTTTACTATAGTCACTGATACATTTTATTTTTTGCAAATTTTCAACTATAGTCACTGATACTTGATAAAGGATTTAACATTTGTAACTTTCTGAAATGGGAAAAACAAAAAGGTATGCATCAGCAGTTTTGGTTACAATGCTGCATTGTCTCCTGCCATGTTGATACCCAACTGATATGAGTCAGTATCTCTAAGCACTCATGAGCAGTTTCCGAAAATCACTCCATTGCCCATGTTGCTACTGTAATCCGTTTTTGGAACTAAGAACTAACAACATGCGTTAAGAATGAATATTTGAAATAATACACAAACTATAATCAATTTGTTTTATTGTTTTCCTTGGCTCGGCTGCAGATTTAGCTACTGACCCATGTTAACTGCGAGAATTTACTTAAGCTCTTGGAAGTTTTGATTTGTATAGAAAGCAAAGTCTTCTGATGATTGTAAGATTAGCTATCAGTTCATGCTTCTTGGAAGGGTTAGTTGATGAGGGTCGTTAATATACCAACTATCTTGTGGGAGTAATTGGAAGTAATACTCATTGATTAAAGTACTTCTATTATTGTCCATATAAGAATAGATTGCTTAGTAGAGCCTAAGGAGGGTCAGATTCCCTCAAAATTTAGCAATGGAAGTTTGGGTTATACGAGGATGTTGAACTGCTATTATTCGGGATGCATGTTATCTGGGTAGTTGGCGTTTCTTGTTAGCTATGCCAAGTCATTGTTTTCAAACTGACACTATGATCTTGTCTCAGGAGTTTAGGCGTATTAAGGGAAATATTAGCTCAATGAGGGAACATGCTGAACTTCTTAGTTCTGTAAGAGATGATATCAGTGAGTATAAGGTAGGAAAAATTCATTATTAAATATTTTTTAGATGCTATAGTTTCAATTGCATGTTAAGCTATTATTTGTGTATATTCAGGCATCAGGGAGTTCCCCCAAGATGCAGATACTGCGGGAGAGAGCTGCTATACATGGAAGCATATCTCATGTAAGATTAAGTGCTCTTTTTACCGACTGATTATTCTCTGTACAGAGTTTACTATCTTTTGTTACTCTATGATGGTCTTGGTATGGAGTATTGTAGTGACAACTAAACCTCAAAGACATCTTTCCATACAGTGTTATTAAAGGCAAAACGTGAAAACAAGCTCTGAAGTCGCAAGTGCCTAAGAGCAATTAAATTTGGTGGACATGTTGACCTCTTGTCCCTCAGCTAATAGCTGTTATTGAAATTAAAATTTATTTGTGTTATTGGGAAGAATATTAATTTAAAGATTGAAGACTCTAACTTCCCCC